TGAGATACTCCCTAACTTGACGTGCCCAAGTGAGGATAGTTGTGAGGACTTTTTCCCTTCAGATGCTAAGAACAATTACATCACTGAATAATATTATTATTAATTTTGATATTATACTTTTAAATGTGATCTGAACGAGATACAGCAACTTCTGTTTGTTTCCCACCCGTTGTTCCCTTCTGTGCCCAGCCAGTCACTTGATGTTGCTCAAAGTCCATCAGATGTAAGCATTGATGAGCCTGAGGATATCCTGGACCCACTTGATATGAAGGGGCTATATATATATATATATGAGGAATTTATCTATGTTTTATATGAAGTTACAGGCCAAATACCTTGTACCTTCCTCCACTATTCAAATGATTGTGGAACAAATAGACAGTCTTAATGATGTGTGTCATCAGTACATAGTAAATCTACTTAAAGGTGCCCTGCAAGCAAATACCCAATTGAGTGAGTCAGAAATCAAGGATGTTCTAACAAGTTTAAATGACAGTAGCTTGCATGCATCCTGTAGCTCTGCACTCTCTACTGAGTATTTGAGAATGCAGTACTTTCAGAAAAACTTCTCTTATGTGCATCCTCAAACTATTAGTTTAGGCACTGATGAAAACCGAAAGGAACAATTTGCTCAGTATATCCCAATAAAAGAGACTTTGCAGGCTTTGCTAAAAGACCCAATTGTGTGGCAAGAATGTACAAAGCCTGTAGATGACACTTCACATGTTTTTAATGATGTGAATGATGGTTCTGTATACAAGAGTAATGCTCTGTTTGGGGAGTCGGGTATAAGTATAAAGCTCATACTATATCAAGATGCCTTCGAGATCGTTAACCCTCTCGGGTCAGCGAAAAAAAAAAAACAAGATAATTGGGGTTTACTTTACACTGGCCAACCTTGACCCATTTTATCGTTCCAACATTGAAAACTTGCAGCTTGTGCTCTTGTGTAGAGAGGAACACTTTAAATATTTTTGCCACGACAAAGTGTTCTCCACAATGCTGTCAGATATAAAGGAACTGGAGGCAAATGGGCTTGTCATCTCTGGGCATGTTGTTAAAGGGGTCATATGATGCTATTTTCAAAATCATTATTTTGTGTATTTGGTGTAACAGAATATGTTGACATGCTTTAATGTTCAAAAAATGCATTATTTTTCAAATACTGTACATTATTGTAGGTCCTCTATGCCCCGCCTCTCTCAAAC